ACAAAACACAAAATAAAATCCAGGCCTGGTCCTCTCTCGTTCGACACTGTTGTCACTCCTCCCTTTTATCCTTCCGGAGCTCCTCCGTGAGACTCGAGACCAGTGAGTGGTGCAGGTGTCGCTCATTATCAATTACTCCACCGGCCTCGCTCCGTTCCCATGGCTCTCGGCCCCGCCCCCACTCGTCACAGTCATTTATAAAAATATATGAATTATTAACAAATATCATAAATATAGAATCTTAAAGAATGTAGAATGTTCTTTAATATTAATCTTAAATAATATAGAATATTACAGATATAATTTGGTTATTTGGTTTCCACAGTTATGTATTTCTTAAAATTGTACAGTTTTTTCACGTTAATTAAGTCTCAAACATTTTATCGATGCAATTAGACAAACTTATTTTATTTTGTAACTTTTCCCATTAAATGTTGCTTTGTATTCTTCTCAGGCTTTAATAAAATAATGTAACATTTGGGGGTGAACAAGCAGAAGAGCAGGCCAAAACTAGAAGCTAAAATAGCAAAAATCTCCACAGCAGTAGTAAATTTACCAGGTGAACTGACATATGCCGGTACAAATGCCAGCCACACTGCACAGAATATAAGCATGCTGAAGGTGATGTATTTGGCCTCATTAAAATTGCCTGGCAACTTTCGGGCCAGAAAAGCCAGAAAAAAGCAGACACAGGCCAAAAGGCCTATATATCCCAACACACACCAGAAGGCCAGATCAGAGCCCACACTGCAGTCCAGGATGATCTTGGACTGTTGATATTTAGTGTTTCTATAGGGGAAAGGAGGGGATATTGTAAGCCAAGCAGTACATATGACCACCTGGACCAGAGTGCAGCAGAAGATGATTATTCTCTGCTGTGTGGGGCCCAACCATTTCATTATATTGCTACCAGGTCGGGTAGCTGTAAAAGCTGCCAGCACCACTAAAGTCTTGCCCAGGATGCAGGAGATGCAGAGAGAGAAAGTGATGCTGAAGGCAGTGTGCCTCAGCATGCAGGACCAGGATGTAGGTTCCCCAATAAACACCAAAGCACAGAGAAAACACAGAGTCAGTGATAACAAGATGAAAAAACTGAGTTCTGAGTTATTCACACGGACTATAGGGGTTCCTCTGTTGTATAAAAATATCACCAGAACTGTGACAGTCAGAAACGCTCCCACTACAGCTATCACAGTCAGGGTGATTCCCATTGCATCATGGGAGAGAAACTCAACTGCCTTCGGGACACATATTGTTCCATTCACATTGGACCAATAATCTTCAGGGCATGACAGACAATCTATTGAATCTAAAAAGAATGGAAAAGACAAATTTAATAAGAGCATGAAGAAATTATGGGAGTCTATATTTTCTTGTCAATAGGAAAACATACAGTAGGGTGCTTTCACCTGTCTGATTACTGATCTTGCCAATATCACATGGAACACAATCAAAGCAGCACAGAGGTTGCCCACGACGGACAGCCTTCCTGAATCCTGGAGTACAGCTGTTACTGCATACAGACATAGGAACCTAAAAAAACAAACAAACAAAAAAACAATATATATATATTGTTTTTTTTTTTCTTATAAGAATCTGAGTCCAAACAACAGAATAACCTTTTTTAATCATTCACAATATTATTGTGCTAATATTGGCTCAAAGATCACATAGTGACAGTGTTATTAATATAACAATAGATGGCAGTGCAGTGCACAGTCAACACCTTGCCTTCTTCTGTTGGTTAGACCACATGATGGCCTGCTCCTCAATCACCAGTTCGCTCCCAGTTTGCTGAGCACCATCATAGAGGCCCACTTTAACAAACTGAATATCTCCACTTGCGTGTCTTTGCCAGTTTATCAAATCATATGATGGGATTGAATCTCCCTTAACATCAAAATTGACTTCTTCTCCAGAAACTGAGAAAGAAATTTCCTGTAAATAATGCTGAAGCTTTGGAGTAGAAAAAAGCAACAAGAAAAAACAAATGGAGGGAGAGGGCGGACATTTATTATTAAAAACTTATTTTAAGAAGAAAAAGATATTGTATTTATGCACAATATAATCACTATTCTGTGTGAAAATCAGTTCTCCTTAAACCATTAGGCACTTTTACCTGCCATGGAAACACATTGTTAAGGTTTGCACATGAGACATTCTCAAACGGTCCATTTCCAGGTTTACAGTGAATGAGATTATGTAGAGAATGAGCAAAGGCATACACTGCTTTATATACATTGTAGGCCACACGAGGGCTGGATGTGTTCATGTAGGCAGAGTGTTCTTGTCTGAGAAGTTCCTTTCCTGTGCAGGAGGGCAAATGACTGTTCAAGCTGGATGTGGAGGGGGAACAACCATAGAGTGCTTCCCACAACTCCTTAACTTGAGGGTTAGAAGGGTACCTATCTGGGGTCACTGTTTTGAGGTAATCCTGAAAACCTGGGATGTGTCCTTGACGTACTGCAAACCCAAGTGTGCCATCTAAGAAAGGATATGTTTCTGCTAATATTGAGGCTGTAACCCAAGCCTCACTTGCAATCCATTGAATTCCTGTGATATTTTGAGTCACAAACTCTCTTAAGAAAGGGTAAAATTCCCCCTCCCCTGAAAAAACAACCACCACCTTAGCTGTTGATTCCTTCATTACTTTAAGAATCCTCATGACCTGTTCCTGGGTATAGTCTTTAGGAATCATTTCATGATAGGCCAGACAAATATTAGTATTCTCAATTTCCCGCTTTAAACCTTGTAAAGCAAACCTTCCATAGTCATGGTCTTCAGTCACCACACCAATCCATGTCCAGCCAAACCTCTTTAAGAGTTGTGCAATAGCTTTGACCTGGTAATCATCACTGGGAACCACTCTGAAAAATGTTGGGAACTGCTTTCGATCACTTAAACAAGAGCAGGTTGAGAAATAACTTATCTATAAATTAAAAAATAATAATAAAAAAAGAAACAGAAAAGCAACAAATGTTAGCCAATTTCACATACATATATAAACTGAAATTGTATAGGCATCAGTACAAAAATCCTTCAAATGTAGTTAACATACTTTCATAATGAGACATTTCACAATTAAATGAATAATTGTTAAGTTAGATTTATTTTATTTTTATTTTTTACCATGGGTATTCTGAAAGGCTCCAGAGTTCTGGAGACAACGATGGATTGTGAGGATCCAGATTCCCCTATTAATCCTAATAAAGGGCTAGCTCCAGAACATATAAAACTTTGTACAACATCCTGTCCATTCAGCACTGCTAGGACTGCTTTCTGAGCAGTCACAGGTGTAGCACAGGAGTCAAAGATACTATAAGCCAGATTATGGTTTGGTAAGAGATCTTTTCTGTTGTTTATTTCCTCCACAGCAAGTGTCATAGTGAGAGCCCAGCGGAAAGCCCTTGGATCAAACCTGCATACAATTATGTTATGAAAATACATTCTTGTAAAACAATGGATGGGTTTCTCATAATTATTCTTCAGAAAATGAATAAAAAGTGAACAATAGATTTAAAATTACAGTTTGGGAAAGACGTAAAGAACATATTAGACATGTTCTTACCCTCGACACTGTGCTGCCAAAGGTCTCTTTATGTAGTCTGTTGGAGGAAGCTCTACTCTATAATGCAAAGGAAAAATTCCTCCTATTGTGAAGTCTCCACTAGTCATGAATACTGGCAAATTAAAATCACCCTGTGGGTTGCAGCTTGAAGTTACAGCTGCACTGGAAAGATGAAATACAGAAACAAAAATATGAATCATTATCCTGTTAACCTCCACAAGAAAAAAGGCGAGGAGATGCTTCTCTTACCTTTGGTTTTATATGTTAATCATGCATATCATTATGCATGACGTCGTCCTGAGTTGTATATCGAATCAGGTGTGCTTTTATGTTTCCCAAGATGCCTCAAACTGAAACAATTATTAGTGTCTGTGTTAGACATTATTGCACATTACAATATCAATAATGCTTTACTTAGTAAATTATTGTGATTAATATGGTGATTAATTAAATTAATATTTTGATGAACATATGGTGATTAATTAAGCAAATTAACCATAATCCAACCCGTTCTCATCAATCTGCGTATAAATAACACGACTTTACAAATCATGTTGTGACATGGGTCTTCAGCTTTTAGACATGGCTGATGACAGCACAACAAATCAACCAACCCGGTATCGCGTGATGATCGTGATCATGTAAAAAGTCCACACATTTACCATATTTTTACCATATGGTCGAGCAACAGTTAGACTACTGTCATGTGTCATGTGCACAGTAACTACAACATATTTACCATGCTTCTCCCACCGTAACCGTAGTTTTACTGTGGTATTTGTAGTTACTAAAGCATAATAATTACAACACTTACTATGGGCTTAACCTTACCTCAGTAATCGTAGTTTTACTCTGGTATTTGTAGTTACTAAAGCATAATAATCACAACACTTATTATGGGCTTAACGTTACCTCATTAATCGTAGTTTTACTGTGGTATTTGTAGTTACTAAAGCATAATAACCACAACACTTACTATGGGCTTAACGTTACCTCAGTAATTGTAGTTTTACTGTGGTATTTGTAGTTACTAAAGCATAATAACCACAACACTTACCATGGGCTTAACGTTACCTCAGTAATCGTAGTTTTAATGTGGTATCTGCAGTTACTAAAGCATAATAACCACAACACTTACCATGGGCTTAACGTTACCTCAGTAATCGTAGTTTTACTGTGGTACTTATAGTTACTAAAGCACAATAACCACAACACTTACTATG